TTGAAACTTTGCAAGAGCCGCAATCAAACCCTCGTTGGCCGGTTATCTTATGTTGAATTATCTAATCAACTTAGAGTTTCATTCGCTTTATGTATTTTAAAGATATTTATTTCTCTGTTAATATTTGTCTTTAAAACATATTGTTTATTTACTCAAGTGTTGAAAAAAAAAATCATTTGCCATACAATATTTTTAAATATCAACAAAAGAATACCTCTATAGTTTTCACTAACTAAAAAATCGATTAAATTATGAAACAACAATTTGTTCACTAGTTTTAAATTATCCATTTTTAAAAAGAATTATCAACATATTTCATTTGACAAGAATGTATATACAATTAGTAACTTTTCCTTCTTTTATACCTTATGGGTACGTCTACTTCTGTTCTTCACATGATCACGTGTGTATCATTCTTGTGTTAGTCTTCTGCAAAATAGCAAGATCATTGGTTACAAATAATCGAGATATACATAATATATGACTATCTAAGTCATATTCTTGTAAGCTTATCCATAGATTCTCTATTTCTAAATTATGACTAACCTGAAACTCTATTATCATCTTTTGTTGCTTCAGCTTGTGCAATGCCCATTACTTCAACCGATTTCTTGGATTCTTCATCGTCTTTGCTAGCGACTAAACCACTACTCTCGTGAATTGGTTTTAAAGCAAGGTCTAATTTTTTTTCTATCGCTTCACCAATATGATAATTAAGTTGCAAGTTCTCTTCATCATTGTTCTTCTTACCAGCTGAGTCTTCAACTAGTGTAACAAATTCATTCTTTTCAATCTTTTGAACGACAGTGTTTGGGACAATAACATCTTCATGCTCTAGTTGTTGGGTGACCTCCAATGTTCTAGGTGATATCCATTCAGAAGAATTTATACCGCACTGTCGATATTAATGTGCCAATCACATAGTCATTGTAAAATTTAAAGATATTTATTTGTTCAGAATTTGTTAAAAATGAGTAAAGTAAATAGTAGAACCTGTTGAGTCTTTGATTGTGAATCTTGTAAATTCTGGATTTCTGTTGAAACAATTGACTCTTCCCCTACACTCGTATCATTGTTGTGTTCTTCGGTCAATTTAGCACAAAGATCTTGTATTAACCCTGAACTTTCTCCTTCTTTATGGATCTCTTGATCACTTGAATTATCCAGTGTTGATCTGTTGCCTTTTTGGACTTGTAGAAAACTCACATTGCTACTATTTTCTATATTTATGTCGTCTTCAAGTAAATATGTATGAGGATGGCTCGAAGAAATATTAAAAATGATCTGAGTTTTTTTTTGCTCTGCTGACTCTACTTTCTCATCAACATTTTCGAGTAATTTTGGTCTATTCTCTTCAATTACCTCACTTTCTAGTAATCCTATAAGAACATGGCTTGGAGAACTTTCTAAGTCACTTTGAAGTGCCTCATTTTCAGGATGCTTTGTTTTCTCCCCAATAGAAACTCCTATGTTTGGTTCATCTTCTTCTTCCATCTCTCTTTCATATGATTTTATATAGGAACTGTCCAAAGAAGCATCCAAAAAGCTTTGACTTGCCTCATATTCCTCTGGTTCCATTTTCTCAAACTTATTCACATTGATCTTTGTAACATGTTCTCCTTGAATGTTATTACACTGTTGATGATTAATCATACCTAAGTCAATCATGTTAGGAGATCCACAAAGATCATCGTTTGGTTCCGCATCAATCAACTTCTTCATGGATGAATTAATAGAAACCAATGATCTAGGGTCAGCTGATTCTTCAGTTATGTAGTTTAAATTCTCCAAGTTACCCCCATCGATCGAGTCTAAGACTGTTTCAGGTTCTTCTGTTATTGAAGACAGTGACACACTTGTATGAAACAACAAACCTTCAAATTTCCCAGAGTTTGAACGCTTGAACATATCACTAGAACTTGAACGTTTCTGCTCAAAAACTTCGACGGCCACTTGCTTGACGTCTTCTTTGGTTTGGACATTTCTATCTAACAATGATGTATCATCAGACACTCTTAGGTTTTCATCTACCACACATTTATGATCTAGTTTTGCCCCTGACCCATTACTTTCCTCTTTTGATCCAATTCCACTTCTTGATTCATATTGGTCAGAGAGCCTATTCCGTGTTTCTTCACCGTAAACGATTTCTCTGTCAATATCTGTATCATATGTGTAAGATTCTCCGCCGTTAGACCAGTCATCAAGCCAATCAACTGTTGTAGGAGGTGAGCCAATCTCTGAAACTTCAACTTGCATATCTGAGGCAATGGAAAATGTTCGACCGTGAGAATTTGCGCATCTACGAGTGTAGAAAATGTTGTTATCATCTAGCCTTGGCGCTATTGTAGCTTTAGGCAGTTGGCTTGGAATAGTACTACTCCTTGTTTGATTCACAACAAAACCAGGATAATTATCCATGGAGTGGCAAATAGTTTCTCTGAGCTCTATGCTATTCAGATGACTGAGTTCTGACTCACTTTCTTCTGAACTACTTGAATCATCACCTTCTTCTTTGTTTGAATATGTTTCCTCATTCAGTTCTACCTCTTTTTCTTCGTTTTTTCCATTTTCGACGCTTCGTTCAGTATGATCCATATATTCATTGTCCAAATCTGTAGACAAAAAGGTCATTATTTACAAAATAAAATATAAACGATAAACTTAATAATCATATAAGATTTGATGATAACCTAAGCGTTTTCTCATAGTTGAAATCTCTGAAGTAGAAGCTGGACTGTTCATACATTGAGTATGTTGTGGTGAAAACAACGAAAATCGGCAGAAACTCTCATGACGACAAAATAACATATCTTGATGGTTAAACATTGAAAACTCTTCATCAAAACTATCACCAGTAAGATTAGGCCTTTCCTCTTGAGGATCATAAGGAATATCAAATGGATTTCTTCCTTGTAACAACACAGAAGGAGCTGAACCTGGCATTTGTACTCCCATAATGGTGTTGTTGTCTGATGAATAATTTCGATTTTTGTTCCTTGAAACTGTAATTTGAAGGGTGTTGTTGTTGTTATTTGTGGAGCTTGTTGTTTCTCCAGCTTGAAGCTTATTACGTTGATTTAACGCTAGCTTAAAGAGTCGTCTTGCTCTTCTTCTTGCTATTAAACTTTCTAACCTTTTGTTTCTCTCAATCTCTGTAATCCCATATTCATTAAAATTACTCATCTCCTCCTCTCTCGTCTCTTCTTTACCATCAGATTCACAGTTGCAAACCATTGATTCTTTTTCGCCGTTAAAATTGCCATCAAAAGTCTTCTCATTGTCTTCGGTTTCTATCGATTTTGGAGACTCGTCGAATTGTGGTGTACGACCAAGGAGATCATTGTAAAGAGAAGTCAAGATAACTTTATCTTTCTCTTCCTCGCTCGTTTGTGAATCCCATTCCTCAACTTTCATTCGAGCATTTCGTCTAACACTTTGTTGTTGTTTTAAATGACACTTAACACCATTCTCTTCTCCTCCACAACTCTTTGCTTTTGAATTACCTGAATATCTTAATCCAAGTTTTTCTCGAGCATACACTATAACACATGCCAAAACTGGCGATGAATATATTAAGAAGAACAATAGAGAAGGGAGAAAAATGTATAGCACGAGTAGAAACATGGAAACCCCTGACAAAATCGGATGGTTTCTCATGAATTTGATGCTTGTATTCATCGAGAATCCAATAATTTTCCATAATATTGCACCGATCTCCTTCACGTCAATATCCATTTTCCATGTAATCAAAATTTAACTCGTAAAAATCTGTAAGAAACCATTTAGAACAAGATTAAAACAAGAAGAAAAATTGTTTTTTTTTTTTAAGATTTAGCAAAAAATTTAACATCAAACAAAAAAGACAATAATTGGAGTTTCCAAATTTAGACAGTATATATTGTTTGGAGATCCTTTGTTTCAGGACGTTAAACTTTTCTAAATTTTGTTTTCATCCTTTTGTTTTGTTTTTGTGATATAAGAGAAAAATAAAACGACAAAACAGAAAACAAGTTTGGTTTCATAATGAGCGGAAAAAACATTGTTTTGGTATTTATTTTCATTTTCAATATAACATTGCATATTTTTTTTGTTTGTGAAATTATTTATTGTAGTCAATTTGAAAGTTTAGGAACAAAAGTGTATATATGAAACTAGTTCGGCCTTAATGGTCTAGACTTTGACAACCCAAATTAGGACAAGAAGAAGATTTATGAAGGCAAAATTGCTTGTTAGTTTTGTAATAAGTATAATTATATAATCATGTATTATTTCTATTTTATGTATTTTAATGGATTTCTTATTTTAACTAGTTTAGGGTTTTTAGAGGTTTTTTTTTTTTAAATAGTCTCTCATACATATGTATTATAAAATTGTTAATTTTTAATAAAAGAGTTTAGAATTTTGTGAAGAATATATTTTTTTTTTTTCATTTGATTAAATTCATCAAACAAGAAACATGTCATAAACGATGATTTTATCGAATCTCTTGGTTGAAATGATAGGTCTTGAACGAGAATTCTTTTCAGTTTCTTCATTAGACCGTTTATCGTTGCTTCCGTTCTAACAGCGTCAAGATGACAAATTGGCAATTATCTAGTGATATATTCAAAAGAGTTGTATAATCCAAGAGTTGTATAATCCAAGCATGATTGGGAAAAAAAGAACATGCTTATCTTTTGGGCCATTTTGTGGGCCCTCGAAGCTAAAAAATCAAAAGGTGGCCCATACCCACCGTTCAAAACCTGTGGTCTATAATAACCTGAAATCTCATCAATATGATCACGTGTCACTAAACAGCAATACTTTCTATACACCTACCCACACTGGATTCCCTCTTACCGATAATGTTCTTACACAACCCGAACTCCGGCGAATCCAACGGTAGATAAAGGTCTCGTTTCCTTCAATCGTACGGTTCACATTCGAAGTCGTAGTTTTCCAGTAAACCTCGCGTTTTTGTAATCCAAAACAAGATTTTAGATAGCTTCGAAAATGTGTAGCCATGTCTTCCTTTGATTTCCTCAATTTCTAGGGTTTTTTTTCCTTCCCGAAGAATGTCTACAATCGAATTGCTAAGACCAGGGAACTACGATAGGTTCCGATTCTCAACCTGTTGTAGTAATAACAGTCTATTGTACTTACACGCTTCGAGCTTTTTCCGAGATCGTTCTAGTGCTTTTCGTCAGAATCCGAGTCGATTTGTCTCCAATTCGATTCAATTCTCTCTGGAGAAGAAACAACCTTCGTCGTTGTCTAGAAATCATGAGAGATTCAATCTCTGGAAAGGGTTTTCGAGGAAGAAGAGTAGTAGAACGATTGTGAATTGTCAAGAAGGTGATGAGAAAACAACAAGCTCGAGTAGTGAAGGAGAAGGGAACAAGAATTCTCCGTCGAAGCGGAAAGAAGGAGGGAAGGAAAGTAAAAGTCGGTTATGGTGGTCGAAAGGGAAGAAATGGCAGTGGGAACCGATTGTTAAGGCGCAGGAGATTGGGGTTTTGTTATTACAATTGGGTATTGTTATGTTTGTGGTGCGGTTGCTCCGACCAGGAATCCCATTACCTGGGTCGGAGCCTCGGACACAGACGACGTTCATGAGCGTACCGTATAGTGACTTCTTGAGTAAAGTTAATAATGACGAGGTGCAGAAAGTGGAAGTAGATGGAGTTCATGTTTTGTTTAAGTTGAAAGATGATGGGAATTGGCAAGAGAGTGAAAT